GTGCGTAGCGTTGCACTCTTCCGCATGTGCTTCGCACCTTTAAATTGGAAATTACCTCTGCAGAACTGGAGCGATACACCTCCGGTTCTAGCTATCACCGAACAGCCACTGTAAGTGGTGCACCTGTTCACTTACTTTGGTAGCTGTGCCACCTCTGGTGGTCACATCACTGAGAAAGTGAGTTCGCATATCAGTAAGGCTCGTGTGGCTTTTCAGAGAATCGACCATCTATAAAGACGGCGGGATGTCAGTCTGTCATTTAAGGGTAGGATGCATAAAGCTGCAATAAGGCCGGTCTTATTGTGTGAATTAGAGACCTGGCCAGTTCGAGATTGAGACCTTACACGCTTGACGGCATTTGGATACCGGTGCTTGCGGAGTATTGCTCACATCTGGTGGGAACACCGGTGAGCAATGCTGAGGTCCACCTGTTGGTTTTTGGCAAGAAGCTTTCTGGTGCCTCACTCGAGTCTTTGTCCAATCTTAATCGCTTACGTTGGCTAGACCATGTCTTCCGCGTACCTGTTAAGCGGCTTCTTTTTCATGCGTTAGACGCCGTGGTAGCAGCAAGTTGTGCTAAACTGCGTGGTGGCCAGTCCGTGACGCGGCATAGAGACATGAAGAAATTGACTGAGGCTTGGTTAGGTTGGTGCGTGCCGTCATCGTGGATGGAGGCTTCGGGATGGTCCACGCTGATGAGTGAAGACCGTATCAGACATGGTGCAGTCACGCAGTTAGTGCCAATACTGCATTCGCTTTCTTGCATCATCATCATGAGTACACGTTAGCTGAGGGTGAGAAACACCTCAGCTAATATTCCGCAATACATAAGGTAAGAGACTAAAAATTACGCCACAAAAGATTATGATCTTAAATATTATATTATGCGTTTTGCATGAGATTGGGATTTTAGGGGAAACCTCAAGGGAGGGGATGGACGGAAAAGCACAACACAAATGCCATTGGGGCCGGCTCCAAGCCATATCAACAAATATGTCCAACCAAACGTGTTCATCGTGCTTAGGACCCCAGCCAGGCAGTCCGGATACGCCAACCGACGCCAACTTCGAAGTAAGGGTTTTCATTTTTCTCGACTAAGTCATCGCTTGGCCTCCCCTCCTCTTGCAACCACATCCCCGGCGCGCAAACAATGCACGTCGCGAGAGTCGGTTTGTTGATATACGCAACACGTGGCCTCGCCATCGGAGCCTATTGCGTGATATAATGGTGCTGAGCTGTTCACTCGCTCTTCTTGCACCAAGTACTAGTGAAACTGTGAGAGCAGGAAACTGTCCCACCCTGCTGTAGCCGCTCCGTCATAGTCCCAATTTTCAAGGGTGGCTCACGATCAGAATGCGGCAACCATAGAGGAGTCGGTCTTATCTCCATCGCCTCCAAATTGCTTGCCTCTGTCATCCTTCATAGACTGACTGGCACTTGTGAAAGCCATATTCGTGAAGAGCAAGCCGGGTTTCGTCGAGGTCGTGGCTGCATTGACCACATCTTCACTTTGCGTCAGTGGTTGGAGCATCGTCACATATCTTGGCGGCCCATCGTCGTCGTGTTCCTCGCTATCAAAGGTACATTCGATTCGGTGGATAGACGTGCACTTTGGGATTGTCTACTCAGGAAAGGTGTACCTGATAAATATGTAAATATTATCCGATCATTATAGTCGCGTAACTCAGGCAGAGTGAGGGCTTACGGCAAGCTGTCGTCGCCCTTTAATATCTCCAGCGGTGTGAGACAAGGATGCCCGCTGTCACCTTTCCTCTTCAACCTCGCTATTGACGAAAGCATGAAGATTGCGTTCACAGGACACTACTTAGAAGGTGTAGATCTGTTCTCAGGAGATCGACTTCTTGACTTTGAGTATGCTGACGATATTGCCCTAATCTGTGACAGCTCCCAGACGTGCCAAGCGGCACTGGACAGATTAGTACTGGCTGTCAGCCGCTTCCGGCTTTGCTTTGCACCATCGGAGTGCAAGGGGTTCCTCCAACATTGGTCTGGACCGCCCCGTACGCTGACCCTTGGTGGGGATCAGCTAGAAGTTGTTCAAAAATTCAACTACCTGGGAAGTTGTATCAGCACTCGTGGGATTGAAGATGAGATCATGAACCGTATAGCAAAAGCTCGGGGCGCTTTTGCCAACCTTCGCCACTTATGGCGGCGGGGCGACATTACTCTCGCCCTGAAGGGTAGAGTGTACAATGCAGCGGTACGTTCGACCCTACTGTACGGTTGTGAAACGTGGCACCTTAGATTAGCGGACATAAAGAGGCTAGTTACGTTCGACCACCGGTGCTTTCGGAGTTTGGTTCATATCTGGTGCGAACACCGGGTGAGCAACGAGCGTGTTCGACGCCTTGTTTACGGCATAGGAAAAGGAAATGAATCGCTCAACACCTTTATTTCACGCCTTAGGCTCCGATTGCTGGGCCACGTGTTGCGCATGCCAGCCCACCGATTTCCACGACGTGCGTTGTTTGCTCACCGGGGAGGTGGATGGAAGAAGAGGAAGGGTGGCCAAGCGATGACTTGGTCGAGAGGAATGAAGGCCCTCACTTCTGAGCTGGCCTCAGTTGGAGCGTCTCGACTCTCTGGTTGGGGTCCGAAAGACGATGAACACGTTTGGCTGGATACTTTTGTTGATGTGGCTACGAGCCAACCTCAGTGGCTTTCGTGCTGTGAGTTTCTTTGTCCTACCCCATCCGTCTTAGCCTCCCCTTCCAACCACGATCTCGTTACTCAGTATTTTATAATTTTGCATAGTAAATTTCTTTTCTGCTGCATACTAGCCGGCAGGTAGCTTACCGGAACGATACCCATCCGTTACCGGTAGCTCAGCTGGCTTGCACCTGTTGCATTTTATTCTCTTTTTTTAAGGTATTGCGGCACAGTAGCTGAGGTGTTTCCCACCTCTAGCTGACTTGTATAGTGTGTGTATCTGTGTGCACCAAATACGCGGCACCGAACACGCTCATTGATCACGCGGTGCTCCCACCAGACATGAGCTAAGCTGCGAATGCAGCGGTGATCGAATGTGACGAGCCTCTTTATATCTGTTGACCTGATAGGCCAGGTTTCACAACCATATAGGAGAATTGAACGGGCGGCTGTGTTATAGACTCTTCCCTTCAGGGCGAGATTAATGTCGCGTCTGCGCCGCAGGTGACCGAGATTGGCAAAAGTACCTCCTGCTTTTGCTGTACGGTTTCTTAACCTCATCTTCGATTCCACGGGCGCTACTATAGCTCCCCATGTACTTGAATTCTTAAACGACATCTAGCTGATAGCTACAAAGCGTTGACGCATGGGTGGGTCCCTGCAAATCTTGGAGAAGTGCTTTGCATTTCGATGGAGCAAAGCATTGCCCAAAACGATAGATAGCCAGTGCTAACCGGTCCAGTGCTGCTTCGCATGTTTGGGAGCTGTCACAGATTAGGGCGATATCGTCCGCATACTCCAACTCAAGAAGTCGCTCACCAGGAAATAGCTCCACACCTTATAGATCGTGTCCAGCGAATGTTGTTTCCATGACTTCATTAACTGCGAAGTTAAATATTAAAGGTGACAACGGGCAACCTTATCTCACACCGCTGGTGATACTGAAGGGTGGCGACAGTTTGCCATAAACCCTTACTCTGCCCAAACTATGCGCATACAGCGCTTTGATAATGTTTACGTATTTATCAGGCACACCTTTCCTCAGCAGACAGTCTCAAAAGGTACATCGCTAATAAACATAGCGGTGCTCCAACAATTGACGCAAGGTAAAGATGGGGTCGATGCAGCCCCGACCTCGTATTCTTGCTTCTTCTGTAACGGAGATCGTGAAGTTGCTGATAGCCCCTACAGTTTGTAGGGACGTAGGCCGCAATGACAAACAGGCACCGTTTGTTTCCGCGCGACTTCGTAGCATGGAACGAACCAGCTAATCTAACAGCGCACATCCGACTGTTGAATGGGATCCAATCGATCAGGACAGCTTGCGCTTGGTTAATTTTCGTTCCATTCCAATTAGTTTAACGCAATTCCTCATTGCTTCCATTTTCTGTACATTCCGTTTGCCTTTAACCTCACTATGTTGCCTTTGTTATTCATCGTTATTAGAATGAGTCGTGGCAACTGGATTCACTGCATTTCGGTGCTCTGACCATAGTTGTTCAACTGAACTGTACTGTATGGACATACTGAGCGTGATTGGAAATTCCAAGTAACCAACTGGCAGTTAATGTATCATGAACGAAATGTGCTGTCATTTTTATCATTTGTCAGGATGATATTGGCATAACGACGTCGCAGTCATTCACTGTTACTATTTGTTCCTTTTATACATCGCAAACGTAATGCTAGATCTCAACTCCTTGCTGAAGAATACGGGTATATCGTTTTGATATGAGCAACCATGGGGTGCTTTTATCTTGATCAATGAATCGTCGAAGTGGGCTTTCTCTACCGCAGCATCGTGCCGTTCCGTAAAGTGATAAAGCCCTTGAGAATAAAATCCTCTATCGCACTCTAGCCTATGACCAGTATAACGAAATGGCGGCGGAATTTGGGTGTCTTTTGTGACATCGCTTAATCGTTGACCAAGTATTTAGTGTTGTGGCTTCGGGCGATGATTCCTAAGAGCTGTGTGGCTTTTCGGCAAGCACATGTTACGGCTTCTGAGTCGATCTAGTCTAGAAACCCCCAGAATAGGCGCTCTAGTGCTGATACTAACAGAACAACGCCTTTGGCAACTGAATCACAATACAGATGCGTCCATCTGTTGGGTGCCACAACTTTTCGGAAGGCGTGTGCATTGTTGCTCCTATTGCCCAGCGATTCTCGAGCTGTCAGTTCATTCTATCTTCAATGTCTTCGCTTTTCTGGCTTTTTATCCACTATCTGGTTAATGCTGACCAAGCATTTTACTTACTTTGGGGTTTTCACGTCTCACTTGATGACATTGGAACTGGTTTGTACACATTTTCGCCTTTTACTATTCCTAGGGACACGCGGAAATGGTGCGGTTCCTCCTGGAAGCCGGAGCAGATCACGAGCACCGTACAGACGAAATGCACACTGCCTTGATGGAAGCGGCTATGGAAGGCCATGTCGAAGTGGCCCGATTGTTGTTGGCTCATGGCGCAAATGTTAACATACCTCAAGACAGCTTCGAGTCGCCTTTGACCCTGGCAGCCTGCGGTGGTCACACCGCACTGGCCCATTTGTTGATTGGTTACGGAGCCGATATTGAAGAGGTCAATGATGAGGGCTATACTCCACTAATGGAGGCTGCACGGGAAGGCCATGAGGAAACAGTTGCCTTGTTACTCGCAGTTGGTGAGGTTTTTTGGTTGGTGTTATTGTTACCTTTTGTGTGAAGTGTAGCTTTTGCTTTATCATGGCTTCCTGATCTGGTCGCCCACTTCGTTGCTCGACCTTTCTGGTATACCTCGGATGCAAACAAACTATCCATCTGTATTTTTATCCTTTCCAACTAGGGGCCGATGTTAATGCACGAACGGAAGAGACACAAGAAACTGCTCTCACTCTCGCCGCTTGTGGTGGATTCATCGAAGTTTGCGAAATGCTGCTTAATGCCGGTGCTGATATCGAGGTTGGGGGCGTGGGTTGTTCAACGCCGCTAATGGAAGCTGCTCAGGAAGGCCATCTTGATCTGGTTCGTCGCCTGCTTCAGCGGGGCGCCGCCGTTAACGCTGTGACCGCTACTGGTGACACTGCACTTCACTATGCAGCTGAAAACGGTCATGTTAAAGTGTGCAAGGAACTGCTTGATTGGGGGGCCGTCTTTGGCGCACTTGCTGAAGGTGGAAGAACACCTCTGATGAAGGCAGCACGGAGTGGAAATCTAGAAGTCGTCCAACTCTTCTTGGAGCATGGTGCACCCATTGATCAACCAACCATCCAAAATGACGCCAATGCGCTCTCTTTGGCTTGTAGTGGGGGTCATGCCAAAGTGAGACATCTTTTTCACTTGTTCTAGCCGCATAACCAATCGTTTTCGCATGCAGTTGTCCATCAGACGGAGTTATTGTTCCGCATTTTCTTAACTTTTTGCCACCAGTTTGGACCTTTTTTAATCTGATCGCTATTTAGCCCAATTTTCTTTGCTATTTAGTTACTCTTCAGTTCGCACCTCTTATTCATTAGTCGTTGAAATCGCCTTTTAGTGCATATCTTACGCCATTTATGCTCATCACTAACTCCGCTTTCTTCCACTTTTTATTTCTCCAGGTTGTCAAATACTTGTTACAACACGGTGCTGACCCCCAATACCAACTACGGGATGGGTCTACGATGCTAATTGAAGCCGCTCGATCGGGTAGCTCTGCTGTGCTCCGGCTCATTCTCGATTACCCCGGTTGTCTTACTCAGCCTTCCACAGTTCCTCTGCCAGCAAATGGTCTACCTCAACTCCAGCACCAGCAGCAGCTCCAACTCCTCCAGCAACATCCCTATCAGTCGATTGCGAACGACACCCAGTCCCCCGCGGGTGCCACACCCGGTATGCCCCCACCGCCCCCACCGCCCTTACCACTTCCCATCACGACAGGTGGCGCAGTGGACTCTTGCCTGGATTCTGCTTACATGCATTTGCATAACCAGCAGCATTCACTCTCTTGTCGTGCGCAACACTTACACCAACCTTTACCATTTCAAACACAAAATCCTGGCATGGTCGTATCCACCAACCCCACTCAGCCTCCGTCCCATCTAGATGCTGCATTGGTAAGCGCTTACGCGGTAGGCTGGGCCGATGGCGCCGCGTCGTTGGTGCAGCAACAGCATCAAGCGTTCTCCTGTTCAAACGGTAATTGGCTTGCTGCACATTTGCTTGCTGTTCTCTCTTTCTTTCGTAGCACTCGTATTTGGTTTTATACATTAGGGTTTCACATGCGCGCCTTGCTACCTGTTACCATTCGGTCGAATTTTAGATTGCCGAACGTGTCCTCTGCAACTCGGTAACCACTATACATCACTTGTCTCCTGATCTCTCGATGTATATGATGGGCATCTTTAGTTATTCCACTTCAACACCAAAGTTTGTCTTTACTCTTCACCTCCGTAACTCGCCTAAACGGCAATGCTGTCTCCACGCTTACTATACTGTTTATCTCACGGGAAACTATCTGAAACGGCAACTTCGCTAATGTTGTTCACACTGCGATGGTTTGGGCTGATTTCGGCTCGGGCAGCTCATTTTCGTGCTCTCTATCGATGTGTCACTTTTGGTGGTTCTAGCGCAAGTGTTGGTGTTCGTTTTCTTCTGTTGTAGAAACGCCTCGCAGGTGCTACACTTCAACATTAGCCGTAGATATTTCTTATCACCCGTTTTGAGACTTCTTTGCTTCATTCGCCGCTGATCTTTCCGTTTCCTCAGCTACAGTATGAGACCTACCGACCTTAGCATTCGAGTCTCCCTGCATCAACCTACTTGATCCCGCTTACAATTTATTATCCAGGACAAGAAGCCTGGAGCCAACGCGACGGAATGAGCCAGCAGGATAACAATATTTGTGAGCGAAAGGAGATAGGACTTAAAGTGCAAATGCGGTTGCGAAAAAAAGAGGATAAAATGTTTGTTTTTAGCTGCGATCAGCCAAATGCAGGAGCGCCACCGAGCCCGTGACTACGTTTTATCAGCCCATGGTCTCCATCCAGTGATGTGACTCATCCGAAGACCCATCCTCGGTCAACTTCTTCACGCCTTGAAGCCCACTGACTGATTCGCGATTTCACCCAAATGGATTTAGTGGCAGCATATAGTACACACAGAGAAAGCATCCGAAAAGCTAGCACGAGTTTAAGAAGCCACTTTGGTTATACCTATACGTGAATTAGGACACTCAGAGTCGCGACCACTGTCCAAGTTACTGGGCCGATCGGCAACTTTCTAGGGCTTTTTGATAATGGTTGGGACTAATGACGTATCGTCACAGTCCTTCAAGCAGTATCTTGCACTTAGAAGGTGTGAAGCACCCACCGAAGCTTGCATCGATATACGCAATTTGGCCAAAGGTGGTCGTACAGAGGCTGGATCCAACCTGAAGAGATCTGTGTCGTCCACATACCTCAGGATTATCGATTTTCCACCTTGCAGGACCTCACGCAAAAGGAGGTTAGCAGAACCTTATTTTAAATCATTTCGATCACAAAGTGAAGGAGTAAAGAAGCTATAGTATAATCTTGGTCTACCCTGCATGTAGTGGAGAACTCAAGGGCTAACCTCCCGTAAACTCCTACCCAATGTCGGAAGTCGCAGTACAGGCTTCAGAATAGAAGTTTACCGGAAGCCCTTCAATGATAAGCAATACCATAGGCTGACACAATCAACCGGATTGTATGCCGGCTTCATCTCAAGTAAAACCACCGTGACTCTATGTCTATATGCGTGTCCACTGCTTACTCGACCGTAGTAGTAGTAGTAGTAGTAGACAGTCTAGCCTTTACCGATTCGATTCTCGCTAGGACCATGGAGTTACCGAAAAATGTCTTTGAGGACAGGGAAAAACGGCCTATCCGCTAACGGTTTCCGCATAACCTGTCACTCTTTTTGTGAGTAAACAACGGCTGGCAACTCCTAATCTGAAGGTTCCTTTCCAGTCTCCTAAATTGCGCTAGATAGGATAAATGGGCCACCATCATTTTTCAGCAAAAGTGATGAAAACTTATTGAGTCTGGGGGCCTGTTTTATCTCAATGGACGGTTATGCCATCAAAATCCCACGTTTGACATAAGTGATTTAGCAAACGGTGGTGCCATAGCAGCTCTACTGAACCACTCCACCTAACGATATAATTGATGTGCTTGCGAACAGACCAGATGTTCATCTTTCTCATCTAGTATCTCATTAACTGATGACTTTCTTGAACCTGTGCTCCTATTGAATTGAAACAGTACTCAGTTGTTCTTAATCGCAGTCACTTTCTCAATCTCTCTCGTTTTGTCTACTTACCGGCTTTCCTGGTTAAGTATACTATAGACGGGTTTCCGATAGGCAGCAGCTATCGATCGAGAAGGCCTTTAATGTTCGGGCAAGTGATGCTTGTTGACCGATCTGCAACAATGTGCGTACTTTGAGGTATGCCAATCTGGGGGAGGATTGGGAGCTCCACAGAGGAAGCACGGACACTGTAGTACTAGCTGGGGATCTGAATGCTCAAGTTGGGAGTGTCCACTGACAAGCTGCACCTGGGCGGCCAACATGGGATAGGCTCCCCTAATGATAACGGTCAGCGGTTAGTTCATTTGTTTGAAGATGCTCACTTATTTCTTGCGAGCACTAACTTCTGACACAGCATTCGTCGGAAGGCGATACAGTGCTCACCATCCATGGATGCAAATCGAACACCTCGCGATCAGTTATCTTTGAAGAGGCTGCTTCCAAAACTGTCGTTCGAGTTGGAGCATGTGTGGACACGGACCGTGCGCTTGTATGTGCCTATCTGTGGGTGCTTTTTGGTAGACGCCCGCGACGACGCTGTGGGCGCATAGATATCAGCCAACCGACGAAGCAGGATGTTCTGAATGGGTATCGAAGTACGTACGGACTGAGTACGGGCTGAGTAAACGCTCACTGAGTATAGTTGAAAGTCACTGGTCGCATGTTCACCAGATCATATTAGCAGCTGCTAAATCCTCATGTGATAAGTCTAATAGACAAGATGGACATTGGGTCTCTTCGCGGTCGCTGGAACTTATCGATGCTCGCTGACACCTTCCGGCTGGAAGCGAAAACAATGAGACTCACAAAGATCTGAGGGAAAAACTCCGTGTTAGCCTGAAGAGAGACCGCAAATCCTGGTGGTCTCATCGCGTGTCAGAGATGGAAGTGGCCGCTGCTCTTGGTAACCATCAGAAGTTGTTCCGTCTGATATGGGAAACGGGCAGCAGGAAACCTATTGCTAGCGAAACTATATGTGACGTGAGTGGACAGCCTATCCACAATTTGTCAAAACGCTTGGAGCGTTAGGCGGAGATTTTGAAAAGCAATTAGCTGCACCGTGCAATGGATGAACTTTCGCAATGGCGTGGTACTTCAGCCTACAGCGCGAAACAAAACATCATCATCATCGATGCACTTTAGACGTGGGTGTGAGGCACTTCAGCTAATGTGCCGCCATACAAAAACATAATTGATTAACTATTACAGGCTGCAAAGGCTAACTAAGTAGCATATGGCTAAATATCATATTCTGTATTAGGTATGAGATCGTTGTTGGAGGGGGATGCTAAAGGGAGGAGGAGGGACAAAGAGAGTCACTACACAAACGCTACTGAGGTTGACTCTTCACCATGTCATCTTGTGTATTCAACCAAACGTGTTCATCGTTCTTGAGTCCTCGACCCAGCAGCTGGGAGACACCAACCGACGCCAGGTCCGAAGTACGGGTTTTCATTCCCTTTGACCAAGTTATTTCTTTCTCTCTTCGTCCTCTCCCATCTATACCCCAGTCTTTGCAAACAATGCACGACGCGGAAGTCGGTTTGCGGGCATGCGCAACACGTGGCCCAGGCATCGGAGCCTGGTGCGTGATATAATGGTGCTGGACGGCTCACTCATTCTTCCTGCACCAAATGCGTGACGCCGAACACGCTGATTGCTCATGCGGTGTTCCCACTAGACATGAGCGAGGCTTCGAAGGCAGCGATGGCAGGACGTAGCTATGTCTACTGACTTGATGCGCCAGGTTTCACAACTGTACATGTGAGTTGAATAAACAGTTGTAAACCCTGCCCTTCAGAGCGAGAGTGGTATCAAGCCGGTGCCACAGGTGGCGAAGATTGGCAAAATCACCTCGGGTCTTTGTTGTACGGTTCGTGATCTCATCTTCGATCCCACGAGCGCTACTATATCTTCCCAGGTACTTGAGTTCCTGAACTCAACTAGTCATTGCTGAGGGTCAACGCAGAATTAGGTCCATCGTAAGCTTGGAGGAGGACTTTCCATTTCGATAGTGCAAAACGTAGTCTGAAACGACCGACAGCCAACGCTAATTTATCCAGTGCAGTTTGACACCTTCGGGAACTGTCACAGATTAGAGCAATGCCGTCGGATATTCTAAGTTAAAATGCTGATCACCTGGAAGCAGCTCTACACCTTTTGTAGGCGGTGCTTGACCAACGCCGTTGTCATGACTTCGTCGATGGCAAAGTTATAAAGGAAATGTGACTGTGGGCATCCTTGTCTTACACTTCTGGAGATATTGTAGGGCAGCGACAGTTTGTCATAAATTCTCACTTTGTCCGAACTATGTGCGTTCAGCACTTTTATGACATTTGCATATTTCTCGGGCACACCTTTCCTTAATAGACTATCCCAGCGGGCACATCCATCCATCGAATCAAAGATACCTTTGACTTTTAAGAGCACGACCACGGTGAGTCGCCAGTAAACAGGGCGATACTCCAACAATTGACATAATGTGAAAATTTGGTCAATGCAGCCCCGATTTCGACAAAACCCGGCTTGTTCCTTGCCCATCTTTCTTTCCCTTATGGCTCAGTCAGTGGTGGACGACTGAGGCTAGTAACCTAGAGGCAATTGGGATCAGACTGATTACTCTATGATTGCCGCATTCCGAACGAGAGCCTCGCTTGAAAATTGGGACTTTAACGGAACGGTTTCAGTCTGCTGGAAGTTTCCGACTCCCATAGGTCCGCTTCTAACTTATGTATATCCTTCAGAAGAGCAGGTTCCCCGAGTATGGGGAGGGCTGGATAAAGTCCATCTGCTCCGGCGGCCTTATTCGGTTTCAGCCATCTGACATCGCTCGATTTCTGCGCGTTGGTGGATCCAAGGGGACAGCC